AAGCAAATATAATTTATTTGAAAATTATAACATAAATATGTTATAAAATCACTACAAAAATAGGAATTTTGTTTCAACACTTCTGGTGTATTATCAAGTGATCGTGTTGAATGTAGAACCATTCTATGTTCAATTCCATTACTTGATAAGACACCAGAAGTGCTGAAACAAAATGGCTATTTTTGTAGTGATTTTATGTTATAATTTTCAAATAAATTATATATAATTATATATATATATATATATATATATATATATATATATATATATATAGCAAGTATTCCTCTAAACATGTTTGAATAAAAGGAACTGGCAAGATCTTTTTATTTTAATTTCTTTATTATATTTTTGGGGAAAAATATAATAAAAAAAATTAAAAAATTAAACCTGACTGTCTAGCTGTTGTATTCTAGTATACCTGCATGTCTTTCAGTCTACCAACAGATGTGTCCACTTATATTTATATCTGGGTCAGCCTGGACACCTCAATGTGGTGTAATGGTTAGAAAGCTTGTCTTGCTAAATCAGTTATGACTGAGTAGTAAGTTCGATCCTCACTGGGTGCCACATACTTTCGGCCTTGTACCACATCTAAGCTGTGATTGGAAAATCTCTATATCTTGGTTAGCCTATAAACTTTTCAGCCAAACCTCATAATGAGGGTGGGTGGGGAGTGTTATGCCAATGACATACATATTTATAGTTAGGATAAAAATGATCTTGAACAAAAAAACAACATCCTCTACAAAGTGTTCCAAGAAATAAGACTCAAGATACACCTTTCCAAAGCAGAAAGTATGAATGAAAGTAGTGAGGGCAACTACCTTGAATCCATTACAAAAATTTAGGATGTCGAATTAGTAAGTACTAAACACTTCAAATACCTTGGTATATGAATCAGTTAGAACAAATTTAGTATAAAAGATAAGAAAATTAAACATGGGTTGTGCTAATAGTAGTTTGCCCAACACCACAAACTAAAGCATTAATTTAAAAACTTAAGCCATGTTTTTAAATAACTTTGTTAGATCTGACATTCATATGCCATGCATAACACCATATCCTTCAGAAATATCTAAACTGCCAAATATATTGTAGCTTACCTACGGACGATAATGTTTATGTCCCCATTCATGTAAACACAGTAGTAAATACTGTATGTGGGTCTGCAGTTGGAGATCCATCTCCAGCTGTGCTGGTCAAACTCTCTGCCTCTGGACAGAGAGGATCCCCAAATAAAGCTATGCCGTGGGACAGTCTCATCTCGGGAAACAGCTACCCGACCCTGTTTTAAACAGGATTTACGGGGAATTTTTAGCCGAGCATACAAGCTCAGATATTCCACATTAAATTCAGCCTTGTGCCACATCTGATTGCGTGGGGTGATTGGTAGATATTCTGCAGTTGGAGATTCGTTGTAGAATTCACTTGACTCACTTGTAGCAGTTTACTACTACTTCTATGTGCTGCTGGCAAATCTTATATGTATTGTCCTAAATATTATCATTCATTACCAACCTTTGTGTGATTATTCTATTCAGTAACCTTCCCTAGGTTACAACATATATATAACCACTTTCTCAGATAAATAATTAAGTGGTTTTGAGTGAATGAAACTTGTAGGTCTTAGCAAGGACCATCCTTCTTCAATCCTTGTGGACTGGTGCTAAGGGATCACAAAGAATTTTACCAGATAACAAATCACATCACTTGAGAACATTCACATATAGCTCAAAGAAAATAATGTTGACATTCTGCACTCCTTCAAACAAAAGATTAGGAAGAAAAACCTCATCCAATACTGGAAAGAGCAATAACAGTGAACTTGAGAAACCTGTTTTCTTAAAAATCAATTTAAAAGAAAAAATTTATAAATTTTTAACTGAAAGTAGCATTTGCTGGTCGGTTAATGAATGCCAAATGTGTTCTAATAAGGAAATGACTATTATTATTACTATTGAAAGTCTTCGATAGATTTCCATCCAAATAGCCATTAATATTACTATGTGGGCTGTAAAGTAACTTGTAACAATTGAGATTGTGTTTAGGAATAGTGCAGTGAAACCTGTTTAAGAATACTTTATTAATATTGTTTAAATTTAATGCTATTAGCAGTTATAACATAAGTCTTCTGTGCATGTTGGGCTGTTCCTTTTGCTAACAGTCATGCATTCTATCTTAATGCGATTGATGTTTCATCCTTTCTTCCTATTTTCCTTCATTACCTACTGTAGGAGTTCTTGTTTCCTTTCTATATCTGCTATTAATACTGTGTCATCTGCATATCTCATGTTGTTAAGATCATGGTTGCAAATAATGAATCCTAGTAGTACTTCTAATTCTTTCAGAATTGCTTAACTGTATAGGTTAAATAAGTCCAGTGAGAAGATGCATTTTACCTGGAATTAGTTGTATTAAATATCCACAGGTATGGTTCATGCACTTCCCACTAAAATAACATTTTTTTTTTCCTAATCATTTCATCCCCAAGCAAGGCAATAATGCTGCTGAGATGCAAGAGGTTACTGAGAGTAAAAGAAAATGAGAAAACATTAGTGAGGAAGAAGGGCAATAAAAAAAAAAACAAAAAAAAAAAACAGGATTTAAAGACAGAAGATGGCAGTTGATGTTGCATTTAAAATTTTGAAGATCATAGTTTATGGGAAAGCAGGAAGCCATAAGAGTTTTGCCGTCAATAAGTGTGAGTGTAGAGTGAGTAGACATGGTTAAATGTAAAATAAATGACAGAACTGACAAAGTTTGTAATAACAAGAAGAAAATGAACAGGGCAAAAAAATATCATAAAGCAAGCAAACAATATATGCAAGGCAAATTAACAGTAATAAGGCAAAGCAACAGTAATATCAAACTAAGAACTGGGGTTGAAACACAAGAGCAATTTTGGATAAGCAAACATAGCGTTCTGACTTCTGACCAAGAACTGGCCTGTTTTATTGGCTAGAAAAAAATCCCAGCATGCATTTGGGTGCTTCTGTCTATAAAATGTAGAGGGAATGTTTTGCAGTCATTTCAAGTAGGATTGGGACCAACAGTGAAAGAAGAAACTATTAAAATAGGAAATATGGTTATATCTAGCAATTTCAACAGTAAGGTAAAGAAAGACTACTATGGTGAGAGGCAAAGAGAGTTAAGTAAAGTAACTTTAGGTTTCAGTAAAGTCAAAACTAAAGTCTAAACACAACCTAGAGAAGCAAGACCAATAAAAGTATTAAATATAACACTTGATGAATTAATTATTTTTTCTTCTGACTTCAATGACCATGATGTAATGGAATAACCTGTTACCCCCATGAGTGACTACACTATAGGTAGTAACTATCTATAAGTATCTGTAAGTCAACAGACTACAGAGTCTAACTGGAATCTTTACCATATGTGCTGATCAAATTCTCTGCCTTCGGGCAGAGAGGAACCTGGATGAGGCTATGCCGAAGAGCAGTGTCTCGTCCAGGGAGGTAGACAGATCTGATCCGTTTATGCAGGGTCTACAGGGATTTTTTGGCCGAGTCTATGAACTCGGGAACCCCACATTAAATTCGGCCTTATGCTGCATGTGACTGCGTGGGACAGTTGCTAGATACCATCTAGCTGGGATCTGTTGAGTATGACTCAAACTTACACGAGAACTACCGACCTTCCGGTAGTAGCACTCACTACTGGATTGACTTGCGACTTGCCTTGTGCATAATTGTTACCTTTATTCTTATTGTATTGGTTTTTACACTGAACCTTTACTAATTTTATCCACCGTGTTTTTTCAAGTATATATTCCTATTAGCATGGAATATAACAAACCACATCTAAAAATTTAAGTATTTAAAGGAGGCAATATGAGAAAATTTTAAATTTAGCAATGACATTAACCATAATGAGCATAGTATTTATGAACAAGCAATGTCTTAAGCAAGATTAATATCCACAAGAGAAAATTATTAAAAAAAAATGCAATCAAGCATTAAACAAAATACCTTTTTGCAGGAATGCAGATTATTTAGAAAATATTTAAATTGAATATATTTCAATAAATATCTTAAAATACCTTGGTGTCTGGATCAGTTATAACAAATTTAGTACAGGAGATAAGGAAATTGAACACTGGATAGGTTCTGTTTGGGGTATTTTTGCTTGGCGCCATAAAATGCTACAAAACTAAAACGTTGATTTGAAAACTAAGTGGTGTTCTTAAGTAACTTTGTTAGATTCAAACTTTCATATGGATGTCATGCAAGGTGTTCAACTCCTTCAAAGACGTCTAAACTATCATCTTTATACAATCATATTCTCGAATCAATGGTTAAAACTTTTCAAATAAATTAACCCTGCAGATCTTATAAAAAAAATATTCCTCTGTTAAACCCTGTAGATGAGCATTACAACACAAGCAAAAGCAAACTTTACTAAATAAGAAAATTCACTCTACTTGAACATTTTCAACAGAAAAAATGGGTAACACGTGTAACTAGAAGAGAAAATAATGATATAATCAAGTTAACTTTTCAAAAATCCTCCTCCCTTTTCACTCTGAAAAAATCCAGATTGGTAGGAAAGTGCTATTAATATTAGACAGAGCTATAACATTTAGTGGACTTGAGAAGTTTAATTTCCTGAAAAATGTTTTTAATAAAAATATTTTATAAATTTCAACCAGCAATAACACTAACTTTACATTAATGAATGCTGAATATTTCCTGTATAGAAATAGCTAATTTTTACTTCCTGCTGGTAATGGTGGTAATTTTGCCAATTCCATTTGGAAGAAGGAATTTTTTTTTTTTTTTTTTTTTTTTCAGAGCACAGTCAAAGCTGTTAATGCTCATGACTAATTTTTATGTCTCTGTTTTAATAACATTTTTAATATGAAGTATGTAGTGTATTGAATGTACAAATAGTGATAAAGAATTCAAAACTATTACTCTCCAATTTATTACTCTCCAATCTGTGCAAACACCTTGGCTAGAACACGGAGATTTATAGGGATTACAGCCATATCACATTGAAACATTGGTTTCCATATCACCAAAGTTAAGCAATGTCAAGCCTGGTGAGTACCTTGATAGGTGATCACTTGGGAATATCAGGTGCTGTAAGTTTGGATGTGCAGGTGGTGTAATAAGTAAGGGCTTGAAATTGGAAATCAGAGAGCTGAATTTCAATTTTAGTTGTCTTTGTTATATTCACTTATGAACAAATACCCTTGGGAAAGGTATGAATCCACTTCTGCCCCTAGCTATGGATTAATTAGTAGGGCTTGTATTAGTAAATCATTATCACCAAAAATTCTTACAATCTGAAACTATTTTCTGGCTGGAAAAGGTTGATAAGCCATAAAAAAAATCAATCATCACCAAGGCTGTTATTTTATATATTATTTTGGGAACTTGATTGTCTAGATGAATGACATAGCATCCGCATACATTTTTAATCGAGAATATTAACATCATTTACATGGGTACATTGGTTGATTATGAACAAATTAATAGGTTCATGGTTAGTAAGGTGACTTGTTATATTTGGTTAGTCTTTTCAAACCTACCCACTATATTTACCTGACCATGCTCAACCAATTATTACCTTTTTTGATTGCTGCAATACTGTGATGAAGCAAACTTTCCTTAATGATAACCATCAAATAATTTCACATTAAAACCTGTGGAATTTTACTCAACAGATATGGTGAATATATAGTGGAATAAAATGTAATTGTACCTTACTTTTTTAAAGAATAAAATTGATAAACAAAATGCAAATTTATTACTCAAACTTTTTTTATCATTTCACTCCAAGCAAAGTATATAAAGACATTAATGTGCTGAATTTGAAAGAATGAGAAAAAGAAAACATATTAAGAAGAGAGAACAACAAAAAAATGGGAGTTATGAAGACAGAAAATGGTGATTGACATTGAATATAAATTTTTGAAGATCAAAGTTAACTGGAAAGCATGAAGTGGGAAGAGAATTCCACAAGTGAGAATTGTGAGAGAAGAAACTGTTAGCATAGAACTTAGGGTTTCATCTAGCAATGTCATTTGTAAAATATTGAAACCTAACTGCCAATCTAGTACTGTGCTTAGATTTGTAAAGTCAAGGTACCATATAGGAAAACACATCAGAACAATTGCTGTGAAAATATTTATAGAAAAGGTACAGGGAAAATACATTACAGTCATTGGGACCTAAAAAATAGATTGGTACAAATGAATATTCCAATATGGATGTTATCTTGTTTACAGAGTAAAGGAAAAAAAATTTGATAACTCACTTATATTTTCTCTTAAATGAAATTCAAGGTAGTTTAATTGACAAGGTTCAAAAATTACTATTTTTCTGCCAAATATTTTATCTTTCTGTGCTGTCATTTTTTACTTAGGCATATCTAAAATTCCTATAGATAACTAAGTTCAGAAGTCAACATTTATTTGTCACTCAATCTCTGAAAACTTGAAAATAAGTATTTTCCTTTCACAAAACTGTTTCTTCATTGATTAAATAGTTGAGGACAATTTTTCTAGACAATTATTTACAGGAATACTGAATATTAAATAACAAATGTTAAATTTGATACTGATTAAACTGGCTTTTTTTTTTTTTTTTTTTTTTTTTTTTGTAACTCTATTTCCAACAAATTTTAATTAGGGCCTCTGTTTTGTTCAGATTTGGAAAATGAGACCTTTTTATTAATCACTTAGTAAAATTCTCCTGATTCTAAATCTATTATGAGTTGTTTCTTGTATTTTTACTATAAAAATGTATTTTTATACTTTCATAGTGTTTCATTTTTGTTTGTGGGTTCACTCTTTACCCATAGCTGGAACTCTAACTGATGCTACCACACTGGGTCAGGGTGGACCTGGGAACAACAGCAATTAAGAGTTGTTTCCACACTCCTTAAAAGCTCCAATCTCTGTATCAGAAGCCATACTGCTGGATGTAGTTTATTGTCATACCCAGGACTAGTTATGAGATGAACTTTGAAATATTGTGATAGACAATTCTAGTGGTCATTTAAGATGCTTACCATAAACAATAATTTGTTTATTCTTAGTCCTAAGCTTTCTATATCCTCTCCACTGATATTAGACTTGTTCTAAGCTGGATTCAGTTAAAACCTAGAAATTAAGAACTTCAAATCCTATATTTGGCTTCAGTATGAGGTTAGGAAAAAGTTGGGAAGAATATTAGAAAATGCAGAAGCTATACTGGCAGCAAATCGCCTGCATACAGAAAGAAAATGAATTCAGTAAATTAAAAAAATAAAAATAGGTGTAAGACAAGGATGTAACTTCTCACCAGACTTATTGAAACTATACATTTAAGTAAATTCTGAGAGAATTAGAAGTCCTACCAGGATTCATTATTGGCAGCCACAATCTTAACAACATAAGATAAGCACATGAAACAGTGTTGATAGCAGACACAGAAAGGAAACAAGAACTTCTACGGAAGTGAAACGCAACTAAACATCAATGAATGTATGGTTGTCAGCAACAGGAACAACCCAACATACAAATTGGAGATACAAAAATCAAACAAGTACAACAATTTAAATATCTGGGAAGTGTTTTAACAGGATAGAAAGTGCAACAGTGATATACAAAGGCACATTGGGATAGCAAAAGATTTATTCCATACACTAAGCAAAGTATCCCTCTGTCTTTTTTACAAATACTTTCACGGTAACTGCTTCAATGAGCTGCTTTTGCTGGTTCCCAGACTTCATGTATTTAAGCATTCAACTAGGCTGGCATCTCGCTCTCACCCTTTCACTGTCGAAATTGTTTAATGTAGCCATCTCTTCTACTCCAATAGCTTCATGTCTCGCACTTCTCGCCTGTGGAACTCCCTCCCCATTTCTTGTTTCCGATAGCTATAATCTCCAACTATTCAAATGCAATGTCAATTGACATCTCCAAATGCCTTGATCTATCCCCTATCCTTCTCTTCATCCTTTCCTCTATCACTCCTCTTCGCTCTCACTCCAACTCTCTGTAACCCCTTGTGTGCTAGTGCTTTTCCACCTTGCTTGGGGTGAAATGCTTTAAAAAAAACAAAAAAACAAATTAAGAGGAAAATTTTGTTAAAAACAAAAAAGTAGAATATTGAACTGTTATGTAATATTAGTCCTCCTACGTGGCAGTGAATGCTGAATAATCTCCTCGCAGATGAAGAAGAGACTTCAAGCAACAGATGTGGTTCTACAGAAGAATGCTGAGAATACCATGGACTGGATATCTGAGCAATAACAAAGTTTTAGGAAAAATGCAAACAAAAAGGACACTTATACTTAACACCAGAAATGAATAGTTGAAATTTCTATGATACATAATAGGGAAAGAGGGCTTGGAAATGGAGGTACAGTGGAGTAAAGGATAGTGGCTCGGATTGAAGAATCGGTGAGCCAAGTTCAAATTGCAGTCGCATCCATTACATTCACTTATGTGCTAATACCCTTGGGAAAGGTATGAATCCTATTCTTCTGCCCCATCTATGGGTAAATAGCAGGACAGGCTGGGTTCTATAACCTTGGAAGGCAACTGGTTTACTGCAGAAAGAAATGGCAAACTACTGCATGAAAAAATCTGCCTCATCAGTCATGTATGATCGCCTAAGTGTGTATCACACATGGCACATAACTGACTGGGCTTGGAAAGTTTGAAACTCACAAGACAGAAGAGTGACAAAGAAAAATAATGCATAACCTACCAAGTGAGCTTGTGTAAATGGATGGAGGAATAACAGAAACTAAATTCATTAAGAGCTACAAAGTAGAGGAAATTGTGGAGAGCCATGATTATTGATGTCCTGAGCAGATACAGCACATAAAGAAGAATGGTAATATTAGCAGTTTCCTTATAAGGAAACATTTAGCATTCATTGATCGATCCACCAATGCTGCTGTCAGTTGAAATTTATAAAATATTTTTCTTAAAATAGTTTTTCAGAAAAATAGGTTTCTCGTGTCTAGTAGCTGTTATTGCTCTTCCCAGTACTGGTGAAGACTTCTTCCTTGCATTTTCTTTGAGGTAGTGTGGGACATCAGTATCTTGATTGTCATTATTCTCACTCTTCAAGTTAGATGTGCAATCCATTTTAGTTGTTGCTGCTGCTGAAGGTCCTCACATGATTTGGTTTCATTATTTGGTACAGTTCTTAGTTTGTGATTCTGTAACACCAGTCCACAAGGTTTGAAGAAGGACGGTCCCCACTGAGACCAATGCGCCTCATTCACTCAAAACAATCTGTAACCATCCATCTGAGAAAGCAGTTGTATACAGTTGACAATTTAGATATTTTTGAACAAGTTTGGTGCTGGGCTTGGCATCCGTATGAAAGTCTCAATCTGACGAGTTTTGCAAGATTAGCACACTAAACATACTGTGACAGGCGTAAATGTTTTTGATTAATATGAAAACAAAAAAATGATTATACCTGTTGTGAACAGTGAAACTAACTAGCTGTTTACTTATTGCTAAAAAAAAGCAGATAAGATATTTTTTTCGTTTTATTTCATTTATCTTTTCTCTAGCTTTTTTTATTTTTTGGTTTTGGATTTTGTTTGTTTTGCTTTGTTTCTTTCCCTCATTCAGTGTTTTTCTTTTTTTTTTTCCCTGTGTCAAGGCAATTACTTCTTCCTTAAGAAAATCTCTTAAAATGACTTGTAAATTTAATAGCATTGGGTATTTTATATCCTATTTTATTTAGGGCATCAGGTAATTGTTACATTGTCAGCCAAATATAAATATTATCTTTGGCCATCAAAGTTTAATGATAAATGAATATTTAAAATGACTGGGGAGGAAGTATGGCTTATTTTTCTGAACTTTTATCAGTAAAAAATAATTGCCAGTTATCTGTAATCAGTTTGTTTTATGCAAAATATTAGATATTTCAAAGAAATTAGAGCTATAAAGACATTCAAAATAGCTTTATTATTCCCTTATATATTGCAAATGGTTACATTAGTTGATTACATAGTTCATATGTAAAAGTCATGACTAAGGATTTATTAACTAAATGTCATCAAAAAGAACCACTTAAATTTCTCTTTTGGTTGATAGTTTTAAACTGTAATATATTCAAGGAGGTTA